AATAGCACAAATTCAGGTAGAACCAAGACGAGCTGTGAATGCAGTTACTTTAATTCAGAAAATCATGAAAATATATATCACAAGCAACAGACAATCATTGGTCGATTCTTCGATGTCCAATCGACAAGGATTTGGTTTAATTTTTGCCTTCTTGCATTCAGCCAATCGAGTTGGTGTCAATTGAGACCACAGTATTAGACGTCCAGGGACCGACCAATAACTGTTGATCGTATGTGATATATATTTGCGTGCTTTTCTCAATAGAATCATCTGTATCCACAGCTCGTCTTGGTTTTACCTTGCGTTGCGTGATTTAGTGGGTTTTCAATCCGAGTTCAAGTTCGCGCTGTTCAATTCCGGTTCCTATTCGATTATTACACGACAACGATCCAGCGATTCGCGGGAACAGGATCATGAACAGTGTCCTCGAAATCGTTGGGGATGGTGACACACTTCACGTTTAAGCTGCGAAACCATTTAACCATAATTCCAGAGATGGTCTCAGTAAAAGATTCACATTCGTTCGAAGTTTGTTCACGGAATAATTAGTCATATCTAACACCACTCCTTTCGCTCAAAACGGGCACATCCGGGATAGGCGAAAACCCAACAAATTGGTGTCCAGTTTTGGGCAAGTCGAGCGCATGCTCACTGAATAAGCGACATCAAAACTGGGAGACACGCTGAGGTTTCGGTTTGACAAGCGTTTTCTTTACGGAACACTACAGGGGTTTGACGACTTTACTCTGATGTGGTGATGAGGGTGACCCATCGCTAATCAGGTCATTGATTCTTGTTCCGTTCAATCTATTCTGGAAGGCAAACCTCTGGCTGTTATTGAAGCCTTAATTCTAATTGTCCTTTCTATCTGTGCGCGTTCGTTCACTAGGATTTAGCAACCAAATATGCCTGTTTGATTTACGCAAGCGATTGAGAAGATTAAACGAGATGTTACCATCTCTTGACGTGAGTCTTCTTTCGGCGTTTACAGAGGAGGCGCATGCAGCAAAAACTGGTCACCCACTTATCTGAAACTACTCCTTTGCCTTGCAGGTTGTGCTTGAATGTGCTTAGACTAGACAACAGCGGCCATCAGGAGCTGAAGTTCTCCCAATACTTCACGAGAATTCACAGACGCTTCTTTCTCAGATTGTGAATGACTTACTAAGAAAGACGTTGTAACGTGTTTGAGCTTGTTTTGTACGATATAACTGTACTGATCAATTGATGATTTGTTGAAAACTAGCGCGTTCATTGGCCCGTATCGACTGTACGCTCCCAAATGAAACTTTTTCCGTCATGCCGTTTTTGTGCCGGGTAAAACGGTTGATCGGCTATCTATGAAGGAAGACTATTGTATAGTCTAGTGTTTTGATCAAGATTACCGTCTTTTGGTGGAGGATTTAAGATCATTATTTTCTACATGTGACGTCAGGTGAGCTCCATCGTGCAAAAATTATTTTCAATCTAATAGAGTTCAATTCGAAGCAATAAATAGATATGTTTTAACGGATGTTTCGTGCAATAACGATTTTATCTCTTGCATGCACATGAGTTTATTAATTGGATCGTTTAATTTTTAATCTACGAACTATATTGAACTGGTATGAGCGTGGCACTTTTGTGTTTTAATAATACATATCATTGATATGTGAAGCATTGGGGCCCATTTCTTCATTTCATCAATATATATAGAAACAAGACAAATGTCGCGAGATGTTAACATTTCGTTCAGTCTTCTCAATCGCTGACTTTAAACAAACAGGCATATTTACAGCACCTGGGATTGTTCAATTATGGTGAATGAACGTGTACAGGCATACAAAAATCACTAAACATAGGAGTAGAAGGTCAACTCCACGGTAAGTGTATTGATTGTATCAAAAACTTCTGTGCGCATAAGGTCCGGTGATGTCATCGAATAAGCAGTGCTTCACTGAGTTCAGCATTGCGATTACGCAAAGGTGGCTTGAAAGACGAAGTGGGGTCAACTGTGTGTCATGTCTTCATGACATATTTTGCAACAGATGACCCTGGATTTCTTGTAATCACGTGACCACCAATTATCGCTTGCGTCATCGATTCCGCCAACCACTTTGCAATATGGTCGGCCATCCGTTGCAAGAGCTGGCCTGTGTCACCGCAACCGCAGGTGAACTGGTATACAGTATGTGAGACGAAGCCGGTTTGCCAGCCATGTTAAAATTTGTTCACAATCAGAGGCAATGAGTCTGTTTTGAGCAGCTGGGAATGAACCCCAACTTGGGGCGCATATCATTGTAAATGTGGTCACCTTTGAACGCAAGCTTTAAGTAGACGGCCTTTTTGCGAACGTTTGGGATCAGGTTAGCTTTAGGGAATGGTCTATTGTGAATGTCTATAAACTTCGCTGGGTAACCATTGTTTAGCAGTGTTCTCCTCAGGAAATCTTCTTCTTCGTTTAGTGCGTTTGGTGAACAAGTGTTTCCCGCCCGATAAAACTGGGTTCTCAGAAGCCCATGTTTGTAAGCTAAGGGGGAAAAGCTGGAAAAGCGAAGGTGTTGGTCC